TTTGAATTCTTGCTGGTTTTTTAGGGGATGTATAGCAACTACAGTGACCTTAAGGGACTGTGTGAACAGAACATTCAATTAAACACATCACTTCAGAACTTGAAATGTTATTTTCCTTAACTTTGCATTGACTCTCCCACATTTAGTCCCTGTCAGTTTTCTCCTGCAAAGCTTTGTGTTCCAGTTACTGTTCTGTAAATTGAGTCTTAGAAAGAAAGCTGATTCAAAGTTGCAGATGCTTTAAATAGAAGGTGCTAAAAATAAAGTGAAACATCTTTTTAAAAGAGAAGGATGGAGAAGGAATTCTGTTACTAGTGTAAACATCATCTCAAAATGCAATAAACTCTGCTGCAAGTTGCCTGATAAACTGTGATCAAGTGACCATCAAATCCCTCATCCAGATCCCAGATGACCCCTGCCAAGTGCTGTAATTTGAGACCAGCTGTAATCAGTCCTTATTGCAGGTCACAGTCAGTAGCCCAGTAAATAGCCTTTTTTTGGGGAGCACTGAGACACAGAACTGAAAACTGCCTTGGATTTGAAATACTTCTGGCTAAACGTACATCCAGTCTTTTATAAGCTTCAGACACTAAGGAGGGATTCATTTGTTGTCCTTTAGTGCACAAACACATCTGTGTATGGTGACAGTTCTCTTGAGCTCAGACTGCACACTTACCTTACTATTGGTCTCTTACCTATTCAGTAGTAATCATGATGTTAAAAAAAGGCTGAATGTGTTTGTTTGCTGATTCCCTCTTCAAGCCATCCTTGAATCAATTCTTTCTCCAAGTGCTTGATTCAGTTCTGGCTCTGTAGCAGTAGCACAGATGCACAAAGTTCCACTAGTGTGCTTCCTGTGGTAAATGTGACTGAAGAGCACTTTTTTTGGGCAAAATGCCCAGCTCCTGTATCTCTGTGCACAGGATGGGAATTGGAAGATGGCTATTGACTCCCCCATCCTATCAGAGTGTTACTGCACGATTGACCTGACTCCTAGGATCTGGGTTATGAGAATAGGTGGGTGTATATCCTTCTGGAGAGCTGGTGTCCAAACCTGGCCATGAAATTGAAGCTAAGGGCTCAGGCTGAATAAAGTAAGATTTCAGTTATTCTCTGTATGTCCTGTGTAGAGGCTTGACACCCTTGCAAGGCTTTATTTTTTTAAATTCTGTTTAGATTCTTTTCTGTGGAATTGCAGTCAGCTACTCATGTTTTGTACTTGTGCAGCTGGTTCTTGCTACCAGAGCTTACTGCTTCCCCCTTATCCTTATTGAATTGCACCCTTTTTATTCCACACAATTGCTCCAATTGGGCAAGATCTTCCTGAATTCTATTCCTGTCCAGAATGCTTGCAGATCATCTGCAGGTATAGAGAGATAGTCTACTCCACTGCCCAAGCACTGGATTACAGTGTCCCATAACACATTTGGAGGAGACCCTGGGAGAGCACTGAAGAATGATCCTCCCACTGAACCCTCGGAGAGCCACGTGCACAGAGTAGTTGCCAGTGGTGGCCTTGCTTTGTATGAGCTGAGCTCCTACCAACAGAAATGTCATGCAAGGTGGCTTTAAAAGCTCAACTCATTCTATGACATGGTCACATCTCCTGTGGCTTTTTGTATGAGACCTGTCAATTCTCAGTCAGTTCTCAGAAGGAATTTTGGCTGAAGTGAGCTTCTCTAAAGGTCACCCATGTGTGCTTGTCTGGGTAATAAATACGTGCTTCCATTCTTTGGTTTTCCTTAGAGGCATTGAGCATGGATTGTCTGACCTGTTGTTTTCATGTTCTTCAAAGGCAGGTGCTTAGGCCTTTTGAATGTTTTACATTCCTGTGAGGTTGAGAGATGACTATCTGAGGTGGTATGAATTTCTTATTTGGGGAAAAAGGTGCTATTTTTCATGTGTTGTTCTTCTTGTTGCCCTCAATTACTGAGGTTGGTCAGTAGTTTGAAACTTGTTTGTGAGCAAGGATGTTACTAGTTCATTCAAAGGAAGTAGATGGTAAAAAGGCATCTGTGCAGCAGCTGCTGTGTTGGGCTGATACCCAGTCCAAGCCAGTATCGTTATTTGAACCCAAAGGCATTTATCTGTACACTTGATGATTTGCCAGCTTTCACAGGCATGGTTTCTAGCGAACAGAGCTCTCAAGGGTGAAGTTTGTATTTGGCATACTGTCCTTATGAATGGCAGTGGGAGGATACACTTGCAACTTTTGGGTGAGACTTGGAATGAGGTCTAGGCTTCCCTTTTAAAGGAACAGCTTGATGTCTTGGGCATTCAGGGAGATGAGTAAGTTCTCCGTCCTTAAATTTGGATCAAATTTTCTGTTGCATGAAAACTGTTCTTAGAAACCGGAGCATGGGAGTAAGGTGTGAATATTGGCCTTCATGAACTTTTAAAGGACATAAATGCAGTATGTGTTGTAGGACTTGTTTATAGAGACATGGAAGCATTTTTGGCCACTTGAGATACACTCTGAATGTTTAAGTGTACTAAGTTAGTTGTCTTTCATAGTCTGGGAATGAAATTCAGCCCATGTACCCTTGGGCATACCTGATCTCTCTCACCAGAGTTGGAGGAAGAGAAATTCTGGAGTATCTTCTATGGAAGGGTAGGTGGTTGCTTTTAACTCTGGGTCAGCAGCTGGGACATTCCTGTCCTGTCTGGCTCTTGGTTCCACTGTGTCAATCTGCCAAAGACTGGGTCTGAGTCTTGACCTCAGACCTGGCAATCTGCCAGGGAGGAGACACAGGCAATCTGCTTCTCTGGTCCAGGCTGTGTCTACATGTAGTCACTTAGGGCAGTGTCAGGAGGACTTGTGGGGCTCCAGCTGTGGCACAGCAGCAGCAGGCTAGGTTTTACTGCTCCTGTAAGCTGTTTTCTCAGTTGTTTCTGCAAACAGAAGGGCATTTTTAGGCATTCTCTAACCTTTCACTGTTTCTTATGGTTAAACTAGATGCCTCTGCAGTCTGAAACTCAGTCATATTGGTTCAGATCTGCATGTGAGGCATCATTCATGCTGCCTCTGTGGATTTGCTTTTCCTGTTTAGGTGCACACACACCCATTAATTATTTTTAAAATGTATAGCTATGGACTAGAAAAGGTTCTCTTACTTGTATGAAGTAATGCAATTTCAACAGTAGGGGCTACAAATGAGAATTTAATAAGGAAATTTTTTCCATATCTTTTCAGATGCTTGCTTAAGAATAGTATAAAAATATAGAGCATAGAGAATATCAGTATAAAAATAGACTATATGGAATACATGCTGTGTGGTTATAAACCACTTTTTATACCTAACAGTAGCAGCACAGCTTTATATGCTACAAGTAAATTTGTCTTGGAATTTAAATTATTTTCTATATACAGCCTCATTCTGAGGAAGGGACTGTACATACTCCTGACAGCTGCATTAGAAACAAGAGCTGAACTTCCTTTCAGCAAAGAAGTGCTCTCTTGATCTGCAGATGCCAGTTGTTTTCCACATGTGAAGTCCTTTTACACAAATGTCCTTTAACTATTGTGTTGTTCTTCCTGTAATTGCTTGTTGTGTGCAGTGCTTCTTAGGAAAGTGTTGATGTTACCAACATAGGAGGATGGTGTCTATCAGTTTTGATCAAGCAACTTCTGTAACAGATCTTAAGATAAATTCCAGACTTCAACGAAGTTGGTTTTTTTTATTAAGGGTACAGTGCTGAAGGTGGGAAAAGGAGTGACAGGCACTTTAAACTCAGACCCTTCCTGATCATTGCTGGTACACAAATACCACTATCTTTGCAAGATTTTTGGTTTCACCTGCCATGAGAATTGAATTACTTCTGATAGTGTTCTGTTATGGTGCTGCTTCTGTGATGTTTTTGATTTATTTTATGTGATTTTTACTATGCAGTAATTGTACTTCAATTGAAATAATAACTTGAAGACATTTGTTTTTAGAAATATTCTTGCCATAAACTTAGAAAAGGGATTGATACCCGTGCTTCCATTGTTGATACAAACTTCTCATTTTAAAACTGTTCCTAAAAAGAATTTGAACTCATGCTTGCACATCTGAAGATTTTTCAGCAAGGTTGTGTCATTGGTCTCTAGGGCTGGTGTAGCTGTGCCCACATGAGGATGAGCAGTTTGAGGTTGGGCGTTTCTAAGCTTCAGTGTGACACTGCTGCAGGCACTGGCAGCAGAGAGCTCTGTGCTTCATCCAGTATCTGATTTACAGCAAGTGTCCAGACGAGACTTTGGAGAAGTAAGATTCTGTAAATACTGTCAGTATAGCTGCCATTGTGGGGCTGAGGCTGGAGGGTCAGGCTGCCTCAGGGCTCTGGCACTGGTGTTGGGATATGGCCAGAGGGCTTGTGGCTGTGGGAGCGTTGTGCTGAGTGCATTGCCACGGCTGCCCTTGCCTTGTGGCACCTCAGGGAGGGGGAGTGGGACTGAGGGGTGCTTACAGAGGTAGTTGACATTCCATTTTTTATTTCTAGCTGGATCTGTTTTTCAGTTGTAACTTGATCTGTCGTAGTTTGAATGTGACATATTGAGCTCTGACTTTGGGTCCCCTTGGAGGAATCATCTGTTTTGAGTATAAAGCAGTGGGTTAAGTAGGATGGAAACACTGGGTACTGTCTGCAGGGGTAGTTTGGGACATGCCAAAAATGGGGAAGGTATCTCTTGGGTTTAAGTATGTTTGGCATTAGGGTGATGGTCAGCTAAACTATACAGCATTGCCAGCAGGATGGGAGATGTCTCATTGTTGGTCTTAGTCTCATCTTTGTACAGGAGCAGCTTAATACAGCCTGAAAATCCATAGGGCTGGAAAATTACTGTTTTGGTTTGGGTCCTTGTGTCCTTAATGAAAATCCATAGAAACAGTAGGGCCTTTCAGACATTAGTTTAACCTGTCTGGACAGCTAATTCACTTTGTAATGCAGGTTGAATTAAGAGAGTTGGTATTTTTATTGCGTACCCGTTTTCAACATGTCTGTCTGATTCTTGGATCTCATAGGAATCCGTCAACTGCATTCTACCAAGCGTTCCATTTCAACAAGTTACACGAGTCAAAGACCACCTGGGATAGGTATGGATGCTTGAGTATGGAATGCATACATGCTGAGGTATGCATGAACTGCTTTGCTCTATGCGAGTTTCTCATTGTTTTTGTTTGCACAGAACTGCTGCCTGTGTTCAGAACTCCATATTGGGCTTCTGCAGTTTGAAGAGGTGAAAGTGGTCATGGAAGTATTTGTTCTGAAACATGGAACTAAACTCTAAAATATGACATGACTTTTTCTCTTCCTCCTTCCATTATGCATGTATCATACATGATGCATAAGTTCAGAGTTTAATGCTAGTCAACCTTCACCAAAATATTTACAGCTTCCTTGTCCAAAAGAGGAGACTTTTTGGCATTGAGCCCTGTATCAGAAAACACATTGTGAAAATACTACATTTAAATACAATTTTGGCAAAGTTAAGATATTTCTGTCTTTAAACTGGGAAAAGAAGCTTTCTCGCTTACTTTCATTCTGCTCGAGTGAAGCTGGATGGGGAACATGAACTGTGACAAGGACAAAGTAAATCTCCAAAGTTAGCATTGAACTCATGGTGAGAAACTGCAGTGAAGTGCAACAGTCTTACCTGGCATGGATAGGACTTGAGAGAGGTGCATTACTAATTCATCAGTAGCTGCAAACTGTTCCTTTCCTGTGCTTTAGTGATTTTGAGGGATTCTTTATTTTATTTTTTTTTTTTCAGCATTAAGTCAAAGTCCTAGTGATGTGATTTAATGCCTTTAATGTGCTGCTCTGGCTTGTCAAAACTTCTGCTTAACAAGCTGTGTAGAATGTAAATTTTGTTTGGCTGTTGAAGTATTGATAACCATTTCATCACTGTCTTGGCTGTATTTGACTTGAAAGGCTTCTCAACTTGCACAGTTCAACTGAATCCTTTAAAGTTTGCTTGGCAACAGTTTGTATACTGCAGAGTGATGGTTATAAGTAATGCTAAGTGTCCTGCAGGTTTTTTAAAAATCACTTTGTATTGCTGGGGTGCTGGCATTAAGCACAGTTTCAGAGCACGTCTTCCTTTTTCAGCAGAAAGTCAGACAAATTTATGTTACTGCTTTAAGCTCTGGATGATGCTGCTTCCCTGTATTTATGGAACAGAGCTGGTATTTAGGTTTCAAGGACTTTGTTATTTCACTGGAACAAACTTCAGAGCTTAGAATACACATTTGGTTTGTAGACCAAAAGGTCACTTTGTGGTCTAGCCTTTAGCTGTTTCTCTACTTTCATGTTGCAAAATAAGTCTTAAGATGAGGAAGCTAATTCAAAAAAATCCTAAAATCAAATAAAAATTATTAAGATGGAGGCTTTACAAATCTGAGATTTATGTACATTGCCTAAAGCAAATGCTGGAAGTATGGGATATAGAAGAGCATTAAATTCAGGTAGAAGAATGTAAACAGTTGCCTTTAAAATAACCTTGCACCTTTGCTGGTGAACTCTTTGTGGTAAAAACAAACGTTTGTGAGAACACAGAATGAAATTCACCAGGATTGATGCATGTTTTAAACTTATAATCCATTCAAATTCCAAAGTCTTTGACAGGATTTTGCAGGTTTTGCATTTATACCTCAGTTACTGGGATTTTAAAGTTACATTAGGCAGCTGTCTTTCACTGGATGACTGAAACAGAGAAGCATTCAGCTATAAACTTATAGTTTATAAGTTTATAAACTTATGTTTTTATAAACTATAAAAAGTGAAAGCTAGTGGAGTGAGCCAGGGGCATCAGTGAGCAGTGCAGCTGTTTGTGGGAGCCATGCAGGACAAGGACACAGCAGGGCTGTAACAGGAACGTGGTGTGGGGCTGCTTCTTGTCATCTCTGGTTTGGGAAAGAAAAATCGCTGCTGTGGAAACAATAAGCTCGTGTGACTTCCTCAGAATCCCTTTGTTTGCCCATCACAAAATGTGGGGGTTGACACACTGCAGAGCACCAGGACCGTGAGTCTGCTGGCTGTGAACTCTTAATTATATTTTGCAGCTCTTTCAGAAGTACTTTGTGAACCTGAGGGGCTTGACTTAGGAGACTTTGTAAACAGAAAATCTTTCTGTGTAATTCTAGTATTTTTTTCTAACAAATACGGATTATTCCCCTATGAGTAGCTGTCACTGGGGACCTGCTGAGGTCAGCAGAGCTAGCTGCATGATACTGCAATAGGGAACAAGAGATTGCTGAATTGCTCCAGTGAATAGAAACTATTTTATTTTTCACCAGCACGCTGTGGCAGGAAGAGCGCTGGTGACACTCAAACCAGTAAGTGTTAGGGAGATACTAGTTGTTACTGACACATTAGCAGGGATGTTTTCTTGCACAGTGCTCACCCAGGTGCTGCTGAAGACACGAGTCTCATGTGTTGGGTCTTTTCAACTGATGTGGTTTAAGGAAGGGGAGCAGTGGTTTCTTGGCATATTCACGTGAGTCTGGGTGGTTGCTCTTTTGGGCCTGGGTTGTCTTTGCACAGTAAAGGTGCCATACCAGCTTTATCTGGGTCTGCCTAAAGCACAGACATTATTGGTAGACTTGAATTAAAGTAGTAGGATTTATGTTTCCATTGCATTTATGTATGAAGTATTAAACCTTCACAATATGAATTAACTCATAAAATGTGTGTGGGAACTCCTGAGGTGGTGAATTCACTGCCTCAGGTTGTCACACATTCTCACATGCCTTTGACAAAGAAAAATAATGCAATTTTGTAATACTCACACAGATCCTCTTTCCAGGCTGGGTAGGTGATTAGATTGCGTTGGGATGCTATCATTATAAAATCTCTTTATGGGATGGAGGCTAATTAAATAGGCTTTAACTCTTTCAAGAATAGAAAAGATTTCTCTGGATAAACTGAATAACTTAACCATTGGTAAGACAGTAGCTCATAAATGAGGAAACAATGAGGGGAAAGAATAAATGACCACAGGACTTCAGTTCACTTGTAACCAGGTAGAAGCACTCCAGCGTACCTTACTGGTGTTCACAGAAAAGTTATTTGATAGTTTGATTCAAAGCAGTAACAGCAAAAGGGAGAGAAGAGCTGGGGGTGGTCACTTGACTTGGGATTGTGTGTCAGACTTTTGGTAATGCCTTTCCCACTTACAGTGACTTAAAGGGAAGCACTTGTGATGGTTTCCAGGAGGATTTGTCTTGCAGAAGCTGTTGTACAGAGCATTGGTGTCCCATGTCCTCTGTCCTGTAGGATCAGCTGTGAGATGAGATACATTTTATACATCTAAAAAGCAATAAAATTTCTGCCTTCTGGGAGTCTTTTGGGGAGTAACTTGGTGTCAAGAAATTCCTTAGGATAGTAGTATACAGATAATCATTAATAGAGCTGAACACAGAGTGTTTTCTGTTACTGATTAAAAAACTCCAGAATTAGCTTACATCAAGCAGTCAGTAGGATTTCAATCTCATTTCAGTGTGAAACACTATTACCTAGTTTAGTGCTTGAGCATGCCAAAGTAGGCTCTGTATAACTCATTCCTAATATATCCAGCATTGGTGTAAAATACACACTTTACTGAGGTCTGTGAAATATCTAAAAACGAACCACTGTGCTTTTTTTAAGCATACAGAATGAATTAAGCTGCAAATACCTTTGAAGTTGGATTCTTAGTCTTTTTTTACCTAGGTTTTGAGGTGAATTTGGAAGTTCAGAGTATGTTTTTTGGGAGGATGCTATTTGTATCTAATGGCATTAATAGTGAAAACAGCACACTGACTGCCATAGTGCTTGTTGAATTAATAATAGAAATGAATCTTGGTGCCCATGGATATGAGGTGGTATTGAAGGCTGTGGCCATTAGCAAGTTAGCATTAAGATGTTAACCCTTTTTTTGTATGAGAAGCAGGAAAGACCTTGGTGTTGTGCAAGCCAAGTGCTTCTCAGCAATAATAAACACCATTTTCAGTGCAAATCCAAAGCAGAGCCCCATACCATCTACAATGGAGAAAATGAACTCCAGCCCAAAGCAGCACATTTTCTGCCCTTTATTCCATAGTGTTTACCTCATGCTCAGGTTGCACACTCTCCAATACAGCCTCCTTAACCACCACCCCTTCCCATCCTTTGCTCTGATAATGGGTGCTGTTCCTGTAGTCTATGCACCAGGCCTGCAGGTTGTCCACAGATGTCCACTGAGATAATTTAGTCTGTGATTTTGGGCTCCATCTCTCATGGTGGTCACTCAGGACAGGAGAGGTGTGTGTGTTGCGTGGAGCTCTTGGACACCGAAGCTGAGTTACGCTGGGTCCTGCAGCCTTCCTTGCTGTGCTCTTCACCACACACTGCTGGGCAGTCTCACACTCTCCCCTGCTCTAGCACAGCACCCACAGAGACAGTCCTCCTTGAACTTCTCCAGTTTGAGTCCTTCCCACCTCTTTCAGGCACCACCTGCTGTGGTGCTGGGGCTCTCCATGCACTGCAGCTGGGTCTCTGCTGCCCCTTGACTCATCCACAGGTCACAGTCCTGCAGCTCCAGCCTTCCCAGTGTGTCAGTGCTGCCATGGGCACCTGCCAGCCCAGGCACATGCTAGTGGCTGTTATCAAGTGTTCCAGGCACAGCAGTGAGGTGATAAGAGCAGTGTGGCAGCAGTGAGAGCAAAAAGTGGCCACTAACAAGCAATGGACTCGAGCAGTCTCGGGCAAGCAAGCCCATGGCAAACGTGGGAGGTTCCAGGCAATAACTGCACAGAAGGAACAGCTATCCATTCAATCTAGAACATCCCAGTCAAATCTGTCCTTACTTCAAACCCTTCCAGCCCCATGTTGGGTGGTGTCTTGGTTTAATCCTGCTGGCACTAAGCCCCATGCAGCCACTCATTCAGCTTCCCCTCCTCCCAGAAGAGGAAAAGTGAGAGAACTTGTCAGTTGAGATAAAGACAATTTAATGGGAAAGGCAAAATCCACCATCAGAATGAGTATTTCTCTGACAAGATGGGGTCTTGTCTACCTGGTGCTTAAGGTAGGAAAACATTGGGTTTACCATCCATCTCTGGGAATGACAAACTGTGCTTGGGGGGGCTCTTTGGTGTTTTTGCTGACTGTAAATCTTGCCATGTACCTTGTGGGCTTCAATCTGAACATGGTGTACCAATATAGTATCTTTCTGGGTAGAGCCTTCATTGACATGACCTTAAGTGGGAGGTCCAAGTCAAAATTAAATGTGCACTGTTCATTTTATCTGTTTGATACTTGGTGTGCTGCAGCAGCTCTGTGGGGTGGGAGTTTTGCTGTTAAAAATGAATACTACATGCCTAATGCACCCATTCATCTGCCCTGTGTTATGTGGATTTTTTTGCAGTTTTGACAAAAATTGCTAGAGTTCTGTAGCTCTTGGAGCAATCAGTAATTGATCTTTTTTCACAAGACCTAAATGGTGTCTTTCCTCTTCTAATTCCAGGATTTGCAAGTTGAGGCATTGGCTCTACAGTGGATGGTGCACTCACAGAATGTGTCACTCTCACTTCATTTGGTCATCCAAAAAGACTTTATTTAGGAGATATTTGGGGTTTCTTCCTGGCCTTTTCATAAGGACTGGATTGTATTTATAAATGTCATTCTGCAGCCATGGGATAAAATATTTTTATGCAAACTGGAATTTGATGTCAAGAGTTTAGGATTTGAGAAAAGTATAAAATTTTAAGATTTGGCAGCACATTTGGAGTTCCCCATGAGAGTAGCTGTCACTGGAGGGCTCTGCTCATGAATGTCCCACAGGAGCTGCTGTTGGGAGCACTGTCAGATTAATAAAGAACAAAAACATGTGGGAATTCTATAGCATCTAATTCTCATCTTCCTTCAGAAAGTGATATGACGTACAGTCAGCTGATTTTATCCCGATGACAAACTGGGGCACCCTGTGTCGGTGTGGAGCTCCTGGTGGGTGTGGGGGGGTCTGTGTGGTCCCAGCCTCTGCCTGCTGAAGCTGGGGTGCGTACAGGGATCCAGGCTCCGCGTTTCTGTCTTGGCACAGCTGCTCTGCAGATGGGGGCAGCAAGAGCCTTACAAAGGAGTGTATAAAGCTGCTTAGAGCTTTCAGCACTGTTGGTGTCGTGCCAAGTGTGGGGTCTGTGTGGTAAGGCAGTTCTTTTCCCAGCTCATTCCAATCCCTCTGCAGGGAGGGACAATTCCTACACCCACCCAACAGGCAGAGGGGAGCTCACAGCAAAAGGTGTGCACAGGGAGGGTGCCTCTGCAGCTCTTTGGGAGGCTAAGGGAAGGCTGCCTGTCTTTCTTATGGAACTGCTGGAATGCCTTTACTTGGAGTGATATAGCAGGGTTTATTTTTTAAAATAATTACACTACAAAATAGCTGAAACAGGGATAGAGCAAAGTTCTCATCTCAAGTTTGACTAGACAGGTATTGACAAAAGTTTTACGATTGTGCTGCAAAGATGGGGAAGTAGATCCCCCTGCCATGGTTGATGTTTGCTTTAATTGTTTTATTTAATTCTCTTGCTGTTACCTCTTAGAGCTGCCTCATCTGACCTGTAGAGTGGTGTCCATAAAGGACTGTGAGAGGACAGGGAGTCTTGGGGATTTTGTGGTTCATGGACACAGATACTTCTGACAGTGCCAGATGACTCTGATGCATGTTAATTCAACATGGAAAGGAATACTTCCCTTGGCATGAGTTATAAAGAGCTTTTATTCTGAGGAGGTTTACCATAGGTAGGGTTTGAAAGAGGCTTAGAAGACAATAAGAGACTAGAACAGTTTTCTTCTGAAATGTGTGTTCAGGGCTTTTGGTTTGGGTTTCAAGATTGGTTCAGTAGAAATAGAGGCTGTTATTCCCTCAGTCTGCAAACCTGATGCCCTCTGCTTGTATAAGCCCAGTGCTGGTACTGACAGTTCTGTGGGAGCCCTTAAAATTAACTTCTCTGACCAGTATCACTCTTTGGGAGCTGAGCCATGTTTCACATCTGTGACTGGTACTACTGACCACATTGCCACACTCTTTGTAAAAAGCCTTGAGTGGTTTTTTTCTTAACACTTGTGTTTGGTGAGTTGCACAATTCCAGAGAGGCGAGTTTTCCAGCATGACTGCAACCCTTGCATTTCCCCATGTTAACTCTACTAAACGTGGCTGCACACTGCTGATAGCTGTGTCCATGGCTGGGAGTTTTATCAGCAGCTCTCACTGGTGGGGCTGTCAGCCCAGGAGCCACTGTGTGTGTCAGGGACCCCTGAGAGCCAGGGTGGGAGGGTGGTGTGGAGGGTGGGGAGGTGGCTGCTTGCAGGCTGCAGCTTTGCATGCCCCGGGGAGAGCTACAGCTCCTCTCTGAACAGAGGAACCAGAGTCTGGGGGAGATCAGGGACACTCCTGGCCTGCTGAAATCCGGCTCCAGAGCTGCGAGTGAGGAACTGGCTCGTGTGCCTGTGGTGGGACTTGGAAACAGACCCTGGCTATTGGGGGCTGCATTTCCATCCTGCAGCGTTCAGAGATGCAGTTTGGGAGTGAATACGCATCCTCACAGTGTGCTCTGAGGTGCACCAGTGTGTCTGTGGAACAAACCTGGCCTTAGCTGTGACCCAGGGCCATGTGTTTGTCAGCTGTCAGGAGGATCCAGGGAGGATTCACTGGGAGCCAGGAAGTGGCCACAGGCTGAGGGCTCTGGTTGTGTCTCACCCTCCTGCTGGCTGCTGCCACAGGAGCTCCTTGCCTGGAAGGTGGACTCAGGTGAATCCAGAGAACAGGTATTATAACAGGATTTTTTCTTCATTGCTTTATAAAAACAGTTTGGAAGAAATAATGCTCATGGTAAGAATCCTATGAATATCCCATGAATACTTGTTTTTCCTCAGTGAAGAAAGCTGGAAAATGAGGCCAGGATTCAAAGCAGTTGATTTGGTGTTTATTCTAATGCATTTTTATGGTTCTGGGTGTCATAAGCCCAGTATGAGAAAGGTATAAACTGAATGAGCAGAATTTCTTGTGAGTTACAACTGTACTGGGCAACTGGGTGGGGTGAGGGCTGGGAGGGACATGGGGCACGCCCCTATGAGTGTATACCGAATTCTTGAATTCTTGACTCTGAGCTTCAGCCTTCCAGTGACAGCATGATCCAGGAGTCCTGCGGGTGTGTGGTTTTACCTGAGTGATACAATAACACCGAATTTTCTCATTGTATTTACAGTGCGTCTGGTGCAAGTGTTGTTGCCATTGACAACAAAATAGAGCAGGCAATGGTAAGTAAAATACAAGTTGTTATTTCTAATAGGATTGAAATGGTTCATCGCTGAGCATAAGTTTCCTGCTATATTTTGTTTCTGTGAGGCTGTGATACCCCTCCAGGTGAGTCAGTCTGAGAACATTGACTGAAAAAAATGATAGAAAAAAGGATTTTCTGTATCAACTATGGATGACCACAAACCATTATTGCTTTTACTGTTGGCCCAGAAATGTTTTTCAGTTAATTTTCTTGCAAATTGCTGTGAACAAGGTGATTGAACTTGAAGGAGTGCTCAAAATATAGTGCATATTTCAGTCTGTTACTCTAGCCAAGTTCATTACTAGTTTTTCTGAAGGGTCAGGTACGCCATCCTTACTTAACATGCTGCTCAGCTTCAGTTAGAGCTGTTGGATTTTTGCTTATGATGTAAAAGCTTGTTGATTTGACTGAGCCTGTGTACCACAGACCCATATCCCCAGTCATCAGAGCTGGTGCTTTCCTTCTGAGGAGCTGGGACATCATTCACACCCTTGGCTTCCATGTAACCAAAGTGACCGGAGTGCTGGAGACAAAGCTTTTCATATCGGGCCCACTTCATAAAAGGGCTGGGTTGTTTGTGCTCGAAGGCTGACTTATTTATAAATATTTGGTGATGAGTGCTTTGTTTTTCCAGGCTTACTGCAGTGAAAACAGTAAGTCCTGGGGCTGGGGTGAAGGAAACTCTTCTTTCCCGTGGTGTAACTGTCCTCTTGTTCTTTGCAGGATCTAGTGAAAAGCCATTTGATGTATGCAGTGAGAGAAGAAGTGGAAGTCCTGAAGGAACAAATAAAAGAATTAGTTGAAAGAAACTCTTTACTTGAACGAGAAAATGCACTGTTAAAATCCCTTTCCAACAACGATCAGTTATCCCAGCTCTCAAGCCAACAGGCCGGCCCCAGCACCTCGCAGGCG